AACAAAATACGGGGAATATATCTCATATATGTGATCTACTTTTAGTCTGGAACACCTTCTTATGAAACGAAACATATGCAGCAATTGCCAGTCTACCTTTCTGGTTTTTTCCATCGAGGTAAAAATTGTAGGTAACTTAGATTCAGTAGCCTTAGGTCACTAGTATTATTAGTCCCAAATAAAAATATTAAAATCTTATAATAAAAATTTAGGTATACTAACAGATAAAACTAGCTGGCATTTTAAAGTTGATATAATTTACGTTTACTTTAGCTATTCATTAGTATACATTTTAAAGCTAAGTTTAATACTATGCCAGAAATAAATAGATATAACGTTTGCCAACCGGTTTAAATAAATAAAAAATCCATGTTTGGTATCAAAAATGTATGAAATCACAAATTTATTACACTTTGTCGAAAAATATAATATTGTATAGACTAAATATGTGTCTCCCTGGTATAGTGAAGTTCATCTTCGCACTGACCTTTGGTCATCTGCAATATGGTGTAGAGCAAGCTGGAATCGCCTACTTTAGGGCCAGCCGGCTCCTGTCTGGTTGGAGATTCTACAATTTCACTCCTAATTGACTTTGACTCGTCACCCGAGCCTTCAACGATCATAATTTTTGCCAAATCAAGATTAGTCTCTTCATTGCGCAAAGCACCGGCAAACTTATTTCAATAGGATTTTGCATTCACCTATTGTTGTTTATCCACGATTTCTTCCTTAGACGATGCCATAGTATTACACACGCTTGGCGGACTGGTCTGTTTGTTCGAGCTTGTCGAACATGATGCAGTTATTCCACTTGCTTCTGAGACCTTCCTCCCTCCTACAGACCAAGATGGTTCAATTATGATTTTTATGCATTTATTATCACTTTTTTGACCATCACATTGGGCCAACGCACTTGCCTCCAAGGATGGTGAGTTTGTGGGTGTAATTGGGCTGGTGAAAGCATCCAGACTCTTCCTAACACGCCGGTTGGCGTATGAGACGGGAGCAGCAAGTACCGTAGAAGACCGATTAATGAAAAAGCTTTTTCCCTTTATAGGAATAGTGGTAATCCAGTTAAAGCCATCCGCCAACTTGGTTCTGCTGGGCTCGGCTAAAATTTCTGGTGAATTTCTACCCATGGAAGCATATTCAGTATTTTGCTCTGTGGATCGTCGCCTACGACCAGATTCCAGCGGGGCCAGAGATATTCGTATCTTTTTTTGATGATTTCTAGTTGAGTTTAAAGGGTCTAAAACGGTAGTTTCCGTGCCAGCGCGTCGTATTCCGGGTTGATGTGACTGAAAGTAGCTGAGGATGGTAGCACAAAATTGCCGGTTTGAAAAGAGATAAATGAACAAATTGACAAAAGAGTCGATCGAAGTGGCCAGGTTAGCGATGTGGCCCAAGAGGACAGTGTTCTCATCGCCCAGGCTGTAACTGGCGATCTTGCTAACGAAGCTGGGTGCTTCGAAGAGGGCAAATGAGGTGCAAAGCAGAATGACAAGTAGGCTCCCAGACTTGCCAGACCCAGAGCGGGCAGCGGCTGAGACAGACTTATTTTTCACACAAACTCGTGGCAGATCATGCTCCTTCTGTGGCCTTTGTGTGAATTCAGGCAATTTGGGTGTCAGCTCTGAATCTCCGCCAATAAGTCCGTTTTCTTGGCCTGATTCTCGTATTCGCGTTGAG